CAGGCTTCAGTGTGCTCATTAGAAATTCATTCTGAACAGCTTGTTATTATCTTTGGCCTCTGGATGTGTGAATAGATTTACAAGCATTAGGGCCGGGGCATTGTGTGGGGCATGTGTGGAGGAGGTCCTGGCCCCTTTGTCTTCACCAGGGCCCTCGAATCAGCTGTCCCCCACCCCTCCAGACACACACTCACATACACACCACGCACCACCCTCACCCCCCAGCCATTACCACAACCATTTGAACAAAAGCTTACAGAACACACTGTTTTGCAGGATTTTAGGAATTGCACAACAGACTTGTGCTCTCAGTTGCAGCACACACAAAAAGCTGCTCCACAATTTCCACCGCCGGCTTTTACGGAAAACCTGTGTCAAGCCTATTATCAGCCCAGTATCAACCCACTAATAAGTCACTTTATACCATCTGTCAAACCACAACTTTAATTTACACTATGACAGTTACACCTGTGTGTGCAGAGAGAAAACTGTTCCTCTTGCAGGAAGTTCACCGTGGATTTAGTGGAAGAATCAAGCTGCTGTTTGCAATCAGGTTACAATTAGGTTACAGTGAAGTTGCTATTTACACAACAAACCAGACAGGTTTGTGCAAATAATTGAGATAATAAACAAGGCTCTAAGGTAGAAGTTCCTCTCTGTCTGAATGCTGCTGGGTAGAGTTAATTAGCTTTCCCACTTTGAGAGCCTGTAGTCAACAAGACGATTAAGGCTTTACTTGAGCCCTGCTAATCAGAGGGGAGATCACAGCTGCATCCTGGTCTGTAAAGCCGATCAGCAGTCATCTGCCGACCCTGACCTTGAAAATAATGCCACAGGTTGGATGTACTGACACAGCAGATGAATCCCAATTCCTTTATTTTACCCGTTCTCAATCCGGAGGGCATTCAGGTCCACCATGATGAAGGACGTCCAAAGCTCTCATTTCTGCCCTGAGGACTGAGGAGCAAGGAGCTCCCTGGAGGAGCTATAGCCGAGGATACAAGAGTGCATTCTTCGCAAAAGTCTGTTACAGATTGACACACCCCTTTATTGGAAATCAGTTTGTGATTGGACACTTCACATGAGGGATCGGAGGAAAGGACGCATCATGTCTCATGCAAGTGAGGGAAACATGGATGCAGTTAGCTGAACTGGGATTCACCTAGTATGTTCTCCAGCTTCAGTTTGAATCAAACTACCAACTCTGGGAATATTAATGCAACAATATGAATATTAAACAAACATGTAGAGGTTTCCACTGAATCCTTCAGGATGGTGTTCATGCCTTTCCAGTAGTCAGGTGCCTATGTGGAAACTCAAACTGGTTTTGCTTGTTGTAATTGTTCCTAATGCAGTGGAGAAAGACACATGTTATACTACTTTGATAGATATCCACTTGATTGAACTGGTTTTGATGGCTGAAGCCTCATATTAGCTTCAGGTGAACAAATGAATACATTCTTGCCTGGTACAAAGATTTTGTTCCCCATCCCTTACATTGCAGGTACATAAGGAAGGATTAACACACAATAAAAATACCACTTCTCATCAGAATTAATTTGACAGGTGGCCCCGCCCCTTAGTCCAGCCTCCCAGCCAATCAGAATCGTTTATCCGGTCTTTAGTCCTGCCCCATCCCATCAGATTCATTCTTCCGGTTCCTGGTCCCACGTGGTCCCCACGTGGCCCCCGAGGGTACCCTCCCAACCCCAGCATCTGCAGCCGGAGATAAGGAAGTTGTGGTTAACCGCATCTGAAAAGATAAACAGACGGTGGTTACAGTCTCTACACACACGTGGTTATATCGATAAGAATATAACAGTATAACTGTATTTGATATTGGTTGCAGCCCTTACATATCAGGGTGTAGTTAGGTATTTAACTTGTTCCTTACTTGATCTTGTAAAATGATCTATTTAAGAATGATGAGTATGGAATAAACACTTAACAGCCACTCACCAGGCTATCGTTCATTTTATTTTCCATTGCAAATAAAGAATAGCAACACAGAACATCAAACTACTGTCAATGAACAGCATTTTAGTGCATTATTCTTTGAACATACATCCAAGCAGTTAGGGTGAACACAATACCTTTTTCAACGCGCACCTCTGTCACGGTTCGTTTTTGACATGCGACGTTTTATGAATCAGAACTGCAGCGGGTGATCATTTCCAAAGACAAAACATTTCATGTTGAAAAGATTTTGAGTAAACGCACGATACAAGGGGTGCCATATGTACTGGTTAAATGGCGTAACTGGCCAGAAAAGGTCAACAGTTATGTAAACGCAGCCGATGTGATAAAAGCGTGAAAAATGGCTAGCTCTGGTTTCTACGTCACTCTGCCCTCCAACGCCAGTGCCGCTGTGTTTAAAGATAATACGGCCTCTCAATTCCGCACAGATCTAGGCCAGCCTATAGATTTAAAAGGGGACTGGGAGGTTGCTCTGACAGATTTTTGTTACCCAAATACGTGGCTTACCATACCGGAACAACGGCAAGACACATGGCAATACGGCATGCCAGACCGGCCTGAGGGTGCTCCCCCCGCCGACGAAGTTAAATACAAAGTACACCGTGAACGGTTGGGACGTGGAGTATACACCAGAGAGAGCCTTTTGAATCAATTGAATACTCATTTGAATAGGATTACACCCTCGCCACACCCCGCAGAATTAAAAGCTGGATTCTACCACTTATATCTTTATTCCGATATAGTCAGACATCAACTGGTGGGTGATACATTCGCTCCGCTCCTACGGTATGTAACAACGCAAGGATCCTACGGAGACTTTATAACACAAAGTTTTAACCCGCCCCATTATTTACAGCTGTCAAAGAATCATATTGACACGCTATATGTGGAAATTAAGACTGATCAAAACACCGCAGTCAACTTCAGATACGGTAAAACTATACTCACCTTACATTTTAGACCCATGAAAACATGACGCCTTGGGTCTATAAGGCAGACCCGTACCAATTTGTGGCTTATTATGACAGCCAGGCCAGTTCCGGGCACGGATACTTCATGGGCACCCCGACACAGTATGGGTGGGGCCTCGGATCTATGTTTTCAAAATTGTTTCGATTCGTTATGCCTCTGGTGAAAAAAGGTTTCAACGTTGCTAGACCTCATTTAACCTCCGCTGCTAAAAACATAACCTCTGACATGCTGAGCAAGGCTGTTGGTAGAATTACCAATAAACGGGACACTGAACCAGCTCAAGAGGGGGCAGGGATTATGGTTCTGGCCAGGAGAGCCAAGAGACGCCCCCCGGGCCAGCATTTTCCCCCTGTCAAGAGGAGAAGAGTGGGTCAAAAGAGAAAGACGGTCACTGGGGGAAGATGTAAACCACAAAGCTCCTCCTCAAAGAACGCTGATATTTTTGTTTAGACCACAATGGCTCTGTTACACAAAAAATCATCAGAATGCATAATCTCGGAGCTCGATCTATTTTCCTGTCCTTTTTCACAACTCAGTGTAGAAGATAAACAATATATCGAGGTTTTCCCCATGTCTTCGATCACAGAGCGAGGACCTATCGAATTTTACATAGCCGCGGAAGGAGAGAAATACGTTGATTTGAGCGAGACTGCTCTTTTTAAGACTGAAAATTACCAACGCAGACGGAACAGATCTGCCCCCTGATGCTGCTGTAGGCATCATAAACTATCCTCTAAATACCATATTCAGCCAGTGCGATGTCACGTTGGGGGATAGGCTAATCTCACAGAGCAGTGCACCCCATCCCTACCGCGCAATGATCGAGACACTGTTAAACGATTCCACAGCCACGTTAAAGACTCAATTCAGTGCTGGTTTATTTTATCAGGATACAGCGGGTGCTATGGACTCGTTCATTGCGAATAATGGGCCTAACAGAGGCCTTGTGGCGAGGGCAAGGTTCACAGCCGAATCACAAGAATTTCCTTTGCTCGGGCCTTTCCACACAGATATATTTTTCTGTGAAAGACTGCTGTTAAACTCTGTAGATCTGTAGAACTACAGCCTGCACGTCCTGGGGGCCTCACTGTTTGTGAAAAAGGTCACAGTCTCACCGGCTGTATGCATAGGTCACTCTTCAGCCCTGACTAAAAGCAACGCTCTGTACCCTCTTTCATGAATCAACCTTGAAACTTTTTCCATCCCCGCAAATTCCAGAATATGCACCCAGGAAAACCTATTTTTGGGTACGTTACCCAAGTACGTGGTGCTAGCCCTCGTAAACCACGAGGCTTTTAGAGGCCGGAGTAATCTAAACCCCTTCAAGTTTATACACGCTGACCTAGAGTATCTGGCCTTGTGTCAGGACGCTCGTCAGAGTTCAGCAAAACCTTTCCAACCGCAGTTTGAAAACAACCTCTCCATCAGGGAATATTACAACCTCGTTACGGCCACGGGGCGTCATCTGAAAGACCTCCCCCTGTGTTTCAGTTGGGACAATTTCCAGCAGGGCTACACTCTGTTTGCATTCAACTTAGCCCCGCACGAGGAAGGCAGTGTTCTCCCCCCTGTCAAAACAGGCATGCTGCGTTTGGAGATGAGATTTAGGGTCCCCCTGCCACACACCGTGACCCTTATAGTGTACGCCTGTCACGATTCTATCCTTGAGATTGACTCTAAACGGAACGTACTAGTGGATTACTACTGAGGAGGAGGGGGAAAAATAATAATGAACGGGCTTCAGCTGGAAAACATTTTATCCCCCTTACTGGGTGGTGCATTTCAAGGTGTGTGGGCGTCCGATGAACTATCTCAACACACTTTCAACAGACCGGCCTATCTCATCGTAAACACACATCCTAGACATCTCCCAGATGAACATTGGCTGGCGCTAACTTTGGAAGAAAAAAGTGGAAGCACATTCTTCGATTCTTTTGGCTTTGCACCTGATTTCCCATATTATCCTAAAACTATCTTGCATTTTCTACAGAGAGGGGGTGGGATAATTTATTATCACAACCATACCCTGCAGCATCCTTTATCTGTAGTTTGTGGTGAGCACTGTGCATATTATCTATTTCATAGAGCTCGAGGCCTGTCCTATTCACAGGTGCTGAGGTTGTATGGAGACGACACCGTCAGAAATGATCTTATGGCCTCTTATTTTGTAAAAGCCTATCAAAAGCTATCTGTAAGAATATTCAACATTAGTTTTTAACTCTGCAAATGTTTTGTGATTTAAAAAATGAAACTATCTGTAAGAATATTCAACTTTAGTGTTTTGACTCTGCAAATGTTTTGTGATTTTAAAAATGAAACTACTTGTAAGAATACTCTGAGAAAAAATCAACGTTCAATAAAACTCCTTCATTCATTTAAAACAAGAAAAACATGCTCGCTGTGCTTACTTTCAAGAAACATGAACCCAGCGAGGGGATAACGTTACAAAACGCTTCTTTTTTTTTTTTTTTTTTTAATATTGAAAGAGTAGACATCTTTTCGATCCCCCGGGGGTGACTGTCCAGAACGTGTATTTCTCAATGCGCTCCACACACTCGGATTTCCGGGTGACGCAAACTCAACATCCGGATCGCCGCCATCTTTGTAGTTCTGCATCTGCCCGCAAGCGTGTTTATTTGCCACCATTGATAGTGGTAAATTTATTTCAGATAAGGTATGCAGAAAATAGTCCCACCCCACAGGTTTGTGAGGCGTGTGATGTGTCACGTTCAGATGTCGGATCAGATCCACCATATCAAATATCAAATACAGTTATATTCTTATCTACATAACCATAGGCGTGTAGAGACTGTAACCACTGTCTGTTTATCTTTTCAGATACGGTTAACCACGACTTCCTCATCTCCGGCTGCAGATGCGTCATGACTTCCTTATCTCCAGCAGCAGATGCAGGGGGGTGGGAGGGTACCCTCGGGGACCACGTGGGGGCCACGTGGGACCAGGAACCGGAAGAATGAATCTGATTGAATGGGGCGGGACTAAGGACCGGATAAACGATTCTGATTGGCTAGGAGGCTGGACTAAGGGGCGGGGCCACCTGTCAAATTAATTCTGATGAGAAGTGGTATCTTTATTGTGTGTAAGATTGTTTAACTTCCAGTAGGACCAAGAGGAACAAACAAAAGCAAAACCTGTCTCAGGTTTAGGATATAAAAAGGTGAATCTACCCTTAAACTTTAGCACATTATGTGAATGAAAGGCAGTGCTGTGCAGACAGGAAACACTCTGCACTTGAAACACACTGTCCCTGTGTTTGTGTTTGCCTCTCTCACCTGCCTCTGACATAACACCTGCCTGTGTGGAAATGACTCTGAGGCTTGTTTGACTTGAGCCTACACAGAGAGGCCGTGTTTACTCGCTCTGCTCCTGCTTTTTCTTTCTGTTTTATCTCTGTGTTTGAGTGTGTTGTGGGTAAGAGGAGATGCGTGTGGGGAGGCAGCAGCTGAGAGAGGCCAGAGCAGAAGAGGAGGAGGTGCAAGAGAAGACTGTCAAATCTGAGGGAGCTGCCGTGATGTAATTCACCATCTACTCATCAGGAAGTTAAAGTCCCAAAGCAAAAACTGGCATTTAGAAGACAAGGGTGTGGATTTTTCTCCTGACATATAAGAACCTGTTTTAAATGCTTTTCTGTGGTTTTCAGCAGACATGTTGATGCTTCTGGTGCATGTGGTGACAAAACTGTTCCTGAAGAGTCGGGTGGATGGGTAATTATAAGCACTGGCAGATAATGAATGGGTGGATATAGTGCATGATGGCCAGTTGGACAACAGATGAAATGATGGTTTGGCTGATTGATGAGGGAGCACAGGTTGATTGAACAATGGATGGACCGATACATGAATGAATGGAACAGTGAATGAATGAGTGACTGGAAGTATGGGTGGGTGGATTAATGAATCGATAATGGCTGGATGAATGGACTGAAAAGTGGGCGGATTGAAGAACAGAATTAGTTCAATATTTGCATGAATGGATGTTTAATGGATGGGTGAATGGATGACGGGTGATCGATGATAGATGAGCAGACAGATAACTGTTGATGGACAGAAGGATTGATGTTAGTGGAATAAAGGGGTGGAAAATAAAAATGACCAATGAAATGTGGGTTAATGGATGGATGGTCGGTTGAGGGGGAATGGATTAACAGATGAAAAACTGAATTGGATCATAGATGAACGGATAGATGGACAGATGGTTAGTTGGATCGAGGGTTGGCCAGTTGGTTGGACAGGTTAATGGATGGTTGGATTATTCAGATTGACTGAGTGACTGGTGATAAATTTGTGACCTGGAAGCGATGGGGCTGATGGGATTTGTAGTCAAGTGCTGCTCAAGGGGGATTTGTTGGGTTTTTCCTCTATAATAATAATAACAGTAAGGCCTAGACCTTAGTTTCTAAAGTGTCCTAAGACGACTATTGTTGTGATTTGGTACTATACAAATAAAACTGAACTGAACTGAATGTGAGTGAATTGTTTCACTGCTGTTAGTTTGTCTTCAGAGTAACAATAAAATGTAAAAACAAATCCTAAAAACAAATTATGCTGTTTACCCCGTCGACGTACATGCATCCACTGCAGGTAGACACAAACACTCTGATTTATGTGGGCATGCACACACACACACACACACACACACACACAGTGTTTTTATTCCTTGTGGGGACTTTACATTGACTTACATTCATTTCCTGTAGACTTATCCTACCTTAACCATAACCACTACTTGTCTAACACCTGACCCTGACCCCAACACTTAACCTAACCTCATCCTAACCCTAAACCATGTTGTCACCCTAAAATTCAGTGATTTCCTTGTTGGGACCAGCTTCTGGTCCCCACAAGAATGGCCGAGTCCCCACAGTGTGAGTGTGTTAACAGGTTTCGGTCCTCATGATGTTAGTAATACAAAGGCACACACACACACACAGTGTAGCATTACTGCCTGTCCTGAGCTAACAGCATTACAGAGCAGTGGATGTCTGATTAAACCAGACAAATTGAATCACATCATGTCTGATAACAGGCCTGACGTGAAGAAAGCACACAACAGGAGCAGAGAGAAGCAGAACCACCAACAACGCATTAACACAGACTGACAACATGATGTTGGACATACGAGGAGATGCTTAACATTAAGGGAATAATCTGGAACAGTTTAGCATAAATAAATGTCTGTCTTCTCTCTGTCCCACCATTCATCCCACAAAACCAGAGCCATGAATGTCTGAATCAAATCTAACAGCAACAGTTGTTGGGACATCTCACTAAAAACCACAAAGGTTAACTTCAAAGGTCAAAAAGGATAAAACACACATTTTGTGTCAAAAGATCAACTTATTGTTATTGTTTGTAGAAATGTATATTATCTAACAGAAATAAATTATGAATCAATTGGTTGTCATGTGTTTCACAATAATGTTATTCTATCAGTTGCTGCATTAAAATGCACTAATCCAATAATGTGTAAGTACACAGCAACACAATACACAACATTGTGTTCATTTCCAGTGTCTCATGTTTTATTTTTATCTTTACTACAAACAAAACTCTCTTTACCTGCATGATCTTAATCGTAATTGATTTATTTTTAAGAATTAGAGAGAGCTCCTCTGCCAGAAATGTAGAACAGCTGGGAACATTTCTCAGCGCTGAGTGGTGTCTTCAGGGTTTCTCACACGTCAGAACAACAAAGAAGTAAAATCCAGGGTAAGAAAAACACACATTGCTGCTCTAAAGCTTAAATGCTGCCAGGCTCAGTTATAACTGGAGGAGACTCGATCAGCTTGGACCAACTTTAATTAATGAATGAAGCAAATTGTAAAAGCGAGGGGGACAAAATTTAAAAACCTGAGTAGCTCCGTGGTGGAAGTTAAACCCTTGATAGGATGCATCCTCTGCAGACCACAGATGTCTACATGAAACATCACGATGCATCGAACAGATGTGGAGATTTTTCAACCTGGACTGAAGTGGTGGCTGCTTTCTGCTCACACTCCATTTCTCTACTGTGCTGCTCCATTATGAGCAGTGTGTGTCTGTGTGTGTGTGTGTGTTATCAGTAGCTCTTATCTGCAGCCTGCTCTCCAGCTGGCTTACACCTGTCAGAGCCACACACTCATGAGCCAGGTGTTTGTGTGTCTGTTTTTGTGGTGAACAAAGTGCCAGTGTGTAATGGACAGGATAAGGTGAGGTCAGACAAAAGGTTTCCATCCAGATATTGAGAAATTTTCTCAGACATTTCCGCAGAAAAAAGTCAAGAAAAAATGGGATTCGGTTTGTTTTCCTCCTCATCTGCTTTGAAACTGTATGTTTTGGTAAAATAATGTGTTTCATTACTTCAGTTATAAAAAGTCAACCTGCAGTATTTAAGCTGGAGAGCACCACGTAAGAGTCAAACATTTTCAGTGGGTTACTTTAATCTGCAGAGGTGATGAACTTAACTTACTTATAAGTACTAATGCCATACCCTAAGTCCTGCACTGAAAATGTTACTTAAAGCTGCATTAACTCAGACTGTCCACAGTGTCTGATAAGCCCGTTGACAGTGGGACAGGACGTGGTGTCTCTCAGCTGTGTTGTATGTTTGTTGTATGTTCAGCAAAACCTGACAAGTTGGTGCTACTCCTACGATCATAGCTCAGTCAGTGGAGGACGGCAGCCACACTTCAGTGTTCTAGGAGGAAGTGCAGGAACAACTTTCACATGCAGACATGTTTCATGTGTGTTGACTTGCAGCTGACCTCTGACCTTTGTTACACACAGCACACACTGCTCCCTCACACACTGTGGAGTCGCTCGGTTTGCTGCTGGTCTGCTTGATTTTTGGATCTGTAATCTACACTCTGTATATGTCTTACATCTACAAATCTTGAGCTGAGATTAAATATTATATTGTACTTCTATTCATTTGTCTGAAAAAACAAAGCCAGGTTTTTCAACTGATGTGAGAAAAAAAAAACTTGTCCCTGTCATTGACGATGATCTTATGAAGCTGAGGACTTTATAATGAAAAACACAGTGGGGGAGGAAGTACACAGACCCTTCACTGTAGTAAAACCAGTACTACTACAATGTAAGAGTTCTGGTTTGAAATGGTACCGAACTATTATTAGTGAATTGTACTTAAAGTATCAGACAGTAAAGGTACTCAGAGCAGGAAAATGCATGCTTGTGAGTACTATTCGAATATTATTACTGATACATTCATGTGAAAATACCATTTTAATGTTTAGCTGGTTGAGGGGAGTTAACCTAACTAATTTTACAGAAGCTACTTCTGGTTATTTTAATCTGCAACAGTGCAGTATTTTATGTTTATCATATGCTTATTTTATTTCAGTACCTCAAAGTACAACTAATTACTTTCCACCATTGGCAATACATACTACATGTTGGGCAGAAAAGGCATATTGGGTTTTTTCTTATTAAATATCAAAAAATATTTTTAGCCCAAAACATATTAATAAAGAGAAAATGAAGGAGTCTGGGACTGTCCACCAGTGTGGAGACGTCTCCCTGCAGCTTTTCTATCATCATTTAACAAGATGAAATATTGAAGGGCTTTGGCCATAACATACGGTTCAATCCAGCCCTTTAACCACCTGTAAGTACATTTTTAGATTTTTCTGTTGCCCTCTTGTAAAAAACAATAACAATCTTCTTGGAGATAGAGATCAAAAACAAACTTGTTTCTCATTTTGGTTTTTATTTTTTATTTTTTGACATTTAGCAAAATACTGCAGAAACATCCAAAGCAGTAAAAGAGCTAAGGTTTACAGAGAAACCAAAACAAAAATAAAAAATTTAATTATGATTGCATTCGGTTATTATCCAAGAGAGGCTGATAAAACTCAATGATTGCTATAATCACTTGAACGCACCATCCTCACACTGTTTCAATATAAATTAAAGAAAATAATTTGGCAACATCATGAATAAACACAGCAACAGATCACAGGTTTAACCACACAGAGCAATAATTTACACAAATAATTTAATAAATAGAAATAAATAGAGAAACATGACTTGGATATACTGTATAGTGGTAATACAGAAGGCTTTGTAGAAAACAATCATCATATCACACGCAGCCAATGATAAATAAGCAATGGAAAAACAATCAATTGAGTTGAGTTTAAGGCAGTTTTACAGCAGGAGTTTCTAATCCGAAGGCATTACTGGCTACACTAGTTTTTACTCTCTCATTTTTAGGCAACAGCTACTGATCCACAGATCCACAAGCTATGTTAAAGCTAATCAGAGTGTTGGGATACGGCCTGTTCAGGCCTGTGAATTCTGCTTTTTACTGGCTACCGGTCGTCCCCTCTCTTAGGTCTAGAAGCTAATAGCACTTGTGCAGAGATGCTAGAAAAATAAATCAACAGTCTAACGCTTTGAAACATAACATCAAGGATCCTCACAGAGAGTGATTATAGGCTGAGGGTTCCAACACACACCCAGAACCTGCTGAAGTGTCCTTAAGCAAGGCACTAACTCCCTGCCTGCTGCAGGCAAGCGGCTGACTTCTGACCTCTACAAGCGGGTGCATGAGAATCATCTTCGTTACTTTTTTGACATTTTCTATTTTCTAAAGCTACACTGCAAAAATATCCTAAAACACCTAAAAACCATTTCAGTTGTTCAAGAAAAGGCAACAATTCCACTATGTCCTCGTGGAATCTGTGCTTTTCTTGATTTAACATCCCAGAACAAGACGAAAACTGGTAAATCACTCAAGCAGTGCTGAAATCAGATTTTAGAGACTTACATTTGTTGAACTAGGAAAACAGTTTAAAATGACTGCACCAACAAGGGGGTGCGGGGGGTGGTCACTCCCATCAACAGTGAAGTTAATCAGCTTCTCACCAAAGTGTGCAGTACTTGATTTAAATAGTTATATCTTAGGAACACGGGCTTAGAATAAAATGCTTTATAACACATATTTTTGCAGTGTAAGTCTAAGATCTTCTCAGAAACAGGCCTGGGCTGGGTATCTTGTTATCTGACACTGTGAAGCAGCCTCGTGTCCCGGAGCATCAGGCGGGGCGAAGCGGCATCTGCAGTAGGATCACCTGCCGGTTCTCGGACGGATGGCATTTGTTGATGTGTCTGGTGAGTCCCGGGGAGCTGTAGAAGATGGCGGGGCAGTATTTGCACGGGTACACCTGTGAGGAGTGCAGCAGGCGGATGTGCCGCTCCTGGCTGCCCTTGTTGCTAAAGTTCTCTCCGCAGACCGGGCACAGGTGGCAGCTGGAAGAGCTCAGGTTGAGCGGAGCCGCGCTCTGTTCGCAGGCCGGCGCGTCCTCCTCCTCCGCCTGTTTTGGGGAGCCGTGCTGTGACGCCAGGTGCTTCCGCAGGTATGCTTGGCGCTTAAACTTTTTCCCACAGTGATTACAATCATACATTCCTTCTTCAGAGCCGGACTCAGATGGCCCGGGGCTGGGTGTGTCCCTGTCACTAGAATCCTTCGCTTCATCCGGCGCTGTTTTACCAGAAGCTGCCAGCTTGTCGCTCTCCACATTTTGCGCACCGGAGGTTCCGTTCTGCTGTTTCGGTTTGTGCCACCGCCGGTGCGAGGCGAGGTTTGCCGGGCAGCTAAAAACCTTGTCACACTCAGGACACCTGTACTCGACCCGGACTATCCTGGAGCACTTGTGCTGCGCCAGAGCGAACGGGTCAGCGTACGCCTCCCGGCACAGCTGGCACACGAACTCGCCCAGCGGGTTGTTGTCACCTCCAGGCTGCTGGGGTCTGGGAGGCTTCTGGTCCACCGGTGCCTCTTTAATCTTGAGCCCGAGAACCGGAGATGTAGTGACATCGTCCTCAAAGTGCAGTTTCCGGATTGCTTTGGTTTTTTTGGATGGGGGTTTGCCTTTGCGCTCGGTGTCGCTGGACGGCCGTTTGGTCCCGGCGGCGGGTAGCGTGCCGGTGGTTGTAGCGTTGGTGTCGGTGCGGCTGCTGTTGCTGGAGCCTATTTTCAGGTCCACCGGGGCGAAGAGATGGTCTAAAGCGGTGAGCGCTGCTGGTGTGGGGAAAGACTCAGCGGAAACCGGTGATCCGAGGTTGAAGCGTCTCTCGAAGTAGGAGCGGTCGTGGTCCTGGCTGACGGGGCGGGTGGGGCTGTAGAGCGCCTGGTACACCCCCTCCGGGTTCCCGAATTGCACGGGTTTGGTGTCTTGCTCCGGGGCCGTGGCCGCCGCCCCGCAGGTGGGCGTCGGCGTCTGAGCGCGCACCGGGATGGAGGCAGGAAGACGGTGGCAGCGGCAGAGGTGCATCAGCCGCTGTTTGCTCCGCTACCTCCTCGTCAGACCGAACCCGGTAGGACACCGGATTGGTTTTCTTGTTTCTTTTCACCAAAAATCCTCTGGGCATGTTCGCGCTGGACGGAGAGCTGAAGGCACTTGGGAGGCTGCTGCGGGGAGAAGAAATCCACTTTCAGCTGCTTGCGGACAGAAACATCTGATGCGCCTTTTTTGTTTGTGTCCTCCTGCCACTGATCCTCTCGTCCTCCCGAGGTGCTTTCACCACAACATAGCTGCACTCTTTTTAAGGCGACATGATGACATTGTTCCCGTCCCCCAGTGTTGCCTCATCCCCGACCAATCAGAAGGAGCCGAGGACCCTGTGGATTTGAGGGGTGGGTGTGTGAGGATGGAGAGACTGATGGAGGGTGGGGGGGGGAGTAGGATTTGCAGATTGTAAAGCAGATGTACCTGAGGGTTTTGTTTCACACACACACACACACACACACACACACACTAACTCCTCTCCGCCTCCTCCTCCTCCTCCTCCTCGTCTCGACCCGGGCACACGCCAGGGGCCTCCTGCTTTTACGGTCTGATGAGCCTGTATAGAAATCTACACGTGCCCCGGCTTTATGTGTCTCTCCTTTGGGTGGCGGGGTTTTGATTTGTCCTAAAAGGAGACATCCGTCCACATAACAGCGTCACAAGGTGACAAGAAAACAGTGAGGAAAGGTGAAACATCTCAAACCGAAAATTAAGCAGCTTGAGTTTCATTTGTTAAATAATATCTAAACGTAACTATACTTGTATAAACTTGAATACATTTTAAATATCAGAAGAACAAAAACAAAAGTGAAAATGAATTCAGATATAAAATCATTATTTCCTGGAAAAACAACCTGAAGAGCTTCAGCCCTCAGTAAAAACTCTCCTGTCAGGGCCGCTTAAGACCTTGCGTTTAGATTTTTGAATTTAAGACACCGAAAGACTTTCCAGGACATCAACACTTCCCGAAAACAGATTTCCAAAGCAGCTACCCTACGCAATGAGGTTAAATTGGAACAATAACATTTGACAAATAACCAAAGAGCTAACAAACAAACCGACTTGTCAAACCACCATGGCCCCGCAGCATGTGCGCTGGCGTGACAGTTAATTCAGGACATATGAATCCGTCATTTTACGCATACATAATTAATAGCGAGAGGAGGATTTCCTACTTTGCATCACAATGGCAGCGCTTGTGCAAGCTGTAGACCCGCCATGATTGAAAAGGAAATTGCACAGTTGAAAAAAAGGGGAGAAGAAGTGGGGGCCCCCAAAAGCAATCTGGGCCCCAGATACCGTTGGCGCGTGCTGTGCGTAATCAGTGCGCTCTTTCTCTGTCTCCAAATGGGGCAAACCGAGATTATCTGCGAGTTAAAACGCACAAAACCCAATTCCTGCAGGCCAGCGCTGGCCCGGTCTGTCGGATATGGGTCTGTCCTCCACCGTGAGGGACGACGGGATGTCACACGGGTCGGCGATGAGTCCCGGGAACCAGATGAAATGTTTAAATTAAGTGGAGGTTTGTGCGCATGCGGAAGTCAGAGTGTGGAGGTTAATTAAAGACGTTTGCAAAGCAGCAGGTTTTTAGCTGATGTGTCACAGTTGAGCTCGGTATCAGGTTTATTGATTTGGACAGATTATTGGTGAGTCCAATAAGCGCTGAAATCAGATCAATACTCATTTAGATGCTGCTGTTGTAACGGCCTACAACTCTTTTACTTTTCATAAGGTTGTTATGTTTAGCTACACCTTCCGGGCTCTGATTGCACTTAAACTCTTATTTACTTCAAGTAAGTAGAAAAAACAAACATTTTTGGTGAGAACTCCAGCCTTCTTATTTATTTGAGCAATTTTTCTAAATCTTGACTCCAGTGCAACAACCTGCTTTCTCATTTTTCAGGAAGCAGATTCTCATTGAAAATTCCTTAAACAAGTTGATCTGTATTGGAAACACTGGAGGACTGTCAGCTGACATTTTGAACTCGCTAACAAAGGAAAATTACCTTAAAAGAATGAGATGATCTGTACATTTAATTTTTCACTTCATGAGGTTTGTCATTAACTGTTTCAAACAAGGTAACAACAATAATATAAAATGCTGAATAATGTTTAAATACTGTAAAACCACAGGAGATAAAAGATCATGAAATGTCAAAACACTATAAGGACACACTAAAAAGCAGCAACATTAAAAAAAATCTGAACAACTGAAAAAGTTACTGGAGATCAACTATCAAAAACGTTACAGGAGATTTTAGGACATGCTGCTGATTTGCACTTTTGGATAATTACACACGACTTGTGTGAATCTGATAATCAGACTGAAGACTTCTGCAGCAGCAGCCTGCCTGTCATTTGGAAGTGAGGACATATGTTGTGGTGTGTGCGGTTATTTTCCC